CCGGTTATTTCATCGATCATTCTCCGGTGTGGAGCTTCTGTTTGTGGTGTTCTGGAGCTTGAAACCTCGCCCAATACCTGCAAAAACTAATGAAAAATCGAAAGGGGGAAAGGGGAAGTGGTCTGGTTCACGAGCTTTGAGCTCGATGGTTAGGTGTTGTTTCGTTTTGGTCTGCCCGCTACTTGGCATGAGGCGGTGGCGTTGGGTCGGAGAAGAAGGGAAAATGGGGGTCATTTGAGTTTGATTTCACCGGAGAGGTTTAACTGTTGTTTGCTGGCTGTTTCAAATGGTAATGGGTCTGGTTTGGTTGATGTTGTTTTGCTGGTGGTTTGGGAGGTCATTTGGTGGTGTTCCGGCGAGGTTTAGCCCAAAAAATGGAGAAGAGGGAGATGAGAACGGTGGTAGGCTGGTTGTTGTTTCAGGTGAAGAGTAAATGCTGAACTGGTGAAGTTCAGTCTATTGTTGGTGGTTTTGGAGATGATTCGCCGGAAAATGTGAGGAATAGAGGTGGTTGTTGATGTTGGAGAAGGAAAAGGAGAATGGAGGTGGGTCTGGGTTGTTTTCTGGTTGGGTTGATGGAGCTGTTGTGGTGGTGAGCTGTTGGAAAAAAGGAGAAAAAAAACAAAGGGGTTTTGGTGGTGAACTCGCCGGATTTCGGTGAAGGTTCGGTGAATTTGTCACCGGAAAATAACGAGCAATAAAAGAATAAAAAATCTCTAACTTACACCCCTAAAAATTTGATCCACCACCCAAGACCTAATGAGCAAACTATTCTTTAAATAGGGAATTAAAACCACCAATAGTACAATATCACTATTTTAAAATCGTGGGCAAAAATCACCGGTTAATAAAATATCTGTGTATGAAATTTTATCCATATCAGAATGAATTTCTGGACTGTGCAAAATATCAAAATGAATATTAACAAATGTAACACATAAAATGAATATGAAAAAATGTAACGAATGTAACCAATGACATGTACAAAATGCAATTTAACAGAAATAATGATTTTTTAAAAAATGAACAAATATTTGAACGTATTCAACTGACTGTTACAAAATAATATAAACAAAATTAACTGATAAAAATCCTAATACTTTGAGAATAAAGATAATTATCAACAAATTGCAGAACATATATTTTAAACTATTTAAAAAATAAAATACTTAAAAAGTATTAACATTAGAAATATCATACCAAAATTTGGTGTCAACATCTTGCCCCTTTGTTTGATTAGGATCGATGAAAGAGATCCTAGTCAAACAAAGTTGACGAACCAAAATTTGGTTTGATAAACTTTGAACAAAACAATATGAGATGTCAGTAGAAATTTTGAACAATACTCTACATCTGTTGATGGGGCTGAAAATAATAAACAAAAGGTAGAGATTGATTGTAAACTGAAAACATTCACATACCTTCGATGCTACTTGCAAAATTGCACAATGAAGGTAGTGTACCTCTTTGAAAGGAGGATGATGTGGATAACATGACACTTTGAATGAGGTGATGACTTAACTTGTCTTTTGAAAGGCAGACGAACCAACTTGAACTTAACATGCCACTTAGAGGGAAGTGACAACCAAACATGTCTCTTGAAAGGCAACGACCCAATTTGAATATAACATGTCACTTTGAGCGAGGTGACAACTCAGCATGTCTCTTTGAAAGGCGAACGACCCATTTGAATATAACATGTCACTTGAATGAAGGTGACAACCCAACTTGAATATAACATGTCACTTTGAACGAGATGACAACCCAACGTGTCTCTTTGAAAAGCGGACGACCCATTTTGAATAAAACAAGTCACTTTGAGTGAGGTGACAACCCAGCGTGTCTCTTTGAAAGAAGGACGACCCATTTGAATATAACATGTCACTTGAATGGAGGTGACAACTCAACTTCAATATAACAGGTCACTTTGAACGAGGTGACAACCCAATCTTGAACTTAAAGTGTCACTTGAAGAGATGTGACAATCCAACGTGTCTCTTTGAAAGACGGACGACCCATGTTGAATATAACATGTCACTTTGAACGAGGTGACAACCCAATCTTGAACTTAAAGTGTCACTTGAAGAGATGTGACAATCCAACGTGTCTCTTTGAAAGACGGACGACCCATGTTGAATATAACATGTCACTTTGAACGAGGTGACAACCTAACGTGTCTCTTTGAAAGGCGGACGACCCATGTTGAATATAACATGTCACTTTGAACGAGGTGACAACCTAACGTGTCTCTTTGAAAGGCGGACGACCCATGTTGAATATAACATGTCACTTTGAACGAGGTGACAACCTAACGTGTCTCTTTGAAAGGCGGACGACCCATGTTGAATATAACATGTCACTTTGAACGAGGTGACAACCTAACGTGTCTCTTTGAAAGGCGGACGACCCATGTTGAATATAACATGTCACTTTGAACGAGGTGACAACCTAACGTGTCTCTTTGAAAGGCGGACGACCCATGTTGAATATAACATGTCACTTTGAACGAGGTGACAACCTAACGTGTCTCTTTGAAAGGCGGACGACCCATGTTGAATATAACATGTCACTTTGAACGAGGTGACAACCTAACGTGTCTCTTTGAAAGGCGGACGACCCATGTTGAATATAACATGTCACTTTGAACGAGGTGACAACCTAACGTGTCTCTTTGAAAGGCGGACGACCCATGTTGAATATAACATGTCACTTTGAACGAGGTGACAACCTAACGTGTCTCTTTGAAAGGCGGACGACCCATGTTGAATATAACATGTCACTTTGAACGAGGTGACAACCCAATCTTGAACTTAAAGTGTCACTTGAAGAGATGTGACAATCCAACGTGTCTCTTTGAAAGACGGACGACCCATGTTGAATATAACATGTCACTTTGAACGAGGTGACAACCCAACATGTCTCTTTGAAAGGCGGACAACCCAACTTGAGTTATAACATGTCACTTGAATGGAGGTGACAACTCAACTTCAATATAACAGGTCACTTTGAACGAGGTGACAACCCAATATGTCTCTTTGAAAGGCGGACGGCCCATTTGAATATAACATGTCACTTGAATGGAGGTGACAACCTAACTTGAATATAATATGTCACTTTGAACGGGATGACACCCCAACACGTTTCTTTGAAAGGCGGACAACCCAACTTGAATATAACATGACACTTTGAACGAGGTGACAACCCAATGTGTCTCTTTGAAGGCAGACGACCCAACTTGAACTTAACGTGTCACTTGAAGGGAGATGATGACCCAACCTGTCTCTTGAAAGGCAGACGACCCAATTTGAATATAACATGTCATTTGAAGGTAGATGGCGACCCAAATTGTCTCTTAAAAGGCGGACGACCCAATTTGAATATAACATGCCACTTTGAACGAGGTGACAACTCAACGTGCCTCTTCGAAAGGCGGACGACCCAACTTGAATATATCATGTCACTTTGAACGAGGTGACAACCCAACGTGTCTCTTTGAAAGGTAGACAACCCAACTTGAATATAACATGTCACTTTGAACGAGGTGACAACCTAACGTGTCTCTTTGAAAGGCGGACAATCCAACTTGAACTTAACGTGCCACTTGAAGAGAGATGACAACCCAATCTTGAACTTAATATGAATGGTGAATCACAAAATCTGCAATAACAGTGTTAGTAACAAATGTAACTGTCGCACCCTATTTCGAACAAGCCGAAACAGTTTACAACATAATACGGCTGCCACTCTATTTTTTTTGAAAAAATAAATTATTTTGTTTTAGAGTCGCCTCCTAAATTTTAAGGAAAATATTAGGAAAACCATTTTTTAAATATGTAAATGTAGACTCTGTTTTGATTTTGTGAAACCAGTGAGATTCTGAGTAAGGGTTTTGGTTATTCGAGGGGAAGGTGTTAAGCATCCCTCAGAGCCTATCCGAAAACAGTCCTTAAACTCAATGTAGAAAAATATGATTAGAAAAACTTGTTTATTTATTTACTTTTAATAATTAAATGAGAAAGTAAGTAGTAATATAATATATTTAATTTTTATAAGAAATTGAAATAAATTTATGAGGTAAAAATAAATAATTAAAAATCTTTTCGTGTTCCTATAAAAATTTCATATGTATATATTTTATTATTATTATTATTATTAATTTAGTTAAATGTGGAGAGCCAAAATTGGGTGTCAACAACTTACCCCTTTCTTTGTCAATGGAAGAGAGTAAACAAGACGTGGACAAAGAAATATTGACACAATCCAATTTTAGGCAACCCACCAAAATACACTTTGAGCAATAACTTGGAAAGAATATTTATGGAGTAATGGCCAAAATCTGGCTTCCGAGTTGCCTACATATCTCAGGTTTCATGAGAAATCAAGCCACATGTAGTTAGAGAGCATAGCAAATTTTTATTAAAAATTTGCCCCAGTATTGAATTATGATAATACTGAAATCTTTCGGTGGTGAGGTATGAAGAGATTAGCACGAATAGAGGGTTCAGATACGGTTTCAAAGAAACTTGAATGAGAAATGTCTATAGCAATTTCTACTGAAGACTCAAGGTAGATAGACAATTTTTCAAAAGTATGCCCCAGTGTCGAGTTACGATGAACTGAGACATGAAAGAGCTATAAGTGAACTTTAAATCTGAACTTCTTAAAATCGAGTTAAGTTGAGTTGACTTTTGAAAGTGAATCATTGACGTAGCTAGTGATGTTTGACATTGCACTAGCTTACCCTAGTTTACTGCTTAGAGGTAGTTTGTTGCTTAGAGGGAGTTCCTCGTTGTAATGCT